ACTTTCCTCCGAACAGAAAGATGGCGGGGGCAATTCTACTCCGGGGTGTACGTCCAAGAGGAACGCTTCCACATGTGGCCGAGACACATGGGTAAGAATAATCGTGGCAGCCCTTTGTGTAATTACGGAAAGTTGGAAATAACCTAAGTGCCCACTGACAGGAGCAGGGATCACCGGATGCTAAGTAACAGTTAAAACGATTGGCCCTGTTTTCATAACATATTGCTGCACAACAACCCAAAATCTAGTGGCAGACACAGCCACTGGTCTGCTCACAATTCTACAATCAGGCAGGGACTCATTGGGGATGGTTTGTCACCACTTCATGTGGCTTCAACAGGGGCTGAAAGATCAACTTTCAAGAGGGTCCCACTCACCAGCTGGCGTGCTGATGCCAGCTGCCAGCTGCCAGCTAGGAGATCAGCTGGCCTATTCCGGGGAGGCCCGCCGGGGTCTGGCCTGTGGCCTCTGCACATGACTTCTCCCGGCGTGGTGGGCTCAGAGCAATCACACTTCTCACACGGAGCACCAGGTCCTCAGGAATGCAGAAGCAGAAGTTGCTAGACCTTCTCAAGGCTTAGGCCTGGGATGGCCACAGGGTTACTTTTGTCCCATTCTGTTGGCTAAAAGAAATACAAGCCGGACATATTCGGTGGAGGTAGGAGGTGGGGGTTGTGGTGGTGGGGGGGAGTGAAGGCGGGGCACACATCTATAAAAGAGTGTGAATACCCAGAGATACACTGCATTGGGTACCACAGACTTCCACAAACCACAGCCACCCACAGCCACATGGCTAAATCTTAGGGAGGTTATGCCGCAGGAACAAACAAATGCCACATTTCAGTGCCTTTCACACAACAAAGGGTTACTTCTTTCTCACACGCATATCCCACACAGGCTGGTGGGGTGCTCTGCTCCACACAGTCACCCAGGACCCCAAGCTGATGAGATGGGCCACCATGCTGAGATGAGACCTCACTTTTGCCATAGCCGTGGAGGACAGGACTGGAGAATTCCACTGGTCCCAGCCCCACAGGGACAATGTCACTTATGCTCACGTTTCATTGGCTAGGACGAGTCACATGACCCTGTCTAACCTGCAAGGGAGTGCTGGGAAATGTAGAAGATGAGCGAGGAAATGTAGAAACGTAGACAAACGGGCGAGGATTACTGTGTTGGCCACATGTGGTAAAAACTGCTGAAAACAAAGGGAAGTTCAAGAGTGTTTACTTCGAGGTAGGGGAGGGAGGAAGGGGTCAGGATAGGAGAGAAATTCACAGGAAGGTGCCAGTGATTTTTAAAGAGACTGAAGTCTAATCTCAGAGTGTAGGCTAAAAATGGCACTTATGTATATACAGCTGAGGCTGCTAGGCATCAAAGGTACAAAGATGAATAAAATAAAATATGGGCTCCTCCCCTATAGGTTCCCAGCTCAGGTGATGCAGGGAGCACGCATACCAAGCAGGCGGCCAAGCACAGTGGTGTGGACTGCTCGCCGGGAGCTCGAAGAGGCACGGGGCACTCTGAGAAGGCCTCCGGCCGAAGGGTCATGTAAGTTGGGCCGTGAAGGATCCATAGGAGTTCAGTCAGTGGAGGAAGGCATGAAGGTGGCTTTGGGTGGTTAGGAACAGTCATTCAAGGAAGAGGGAACAATATGTGCAGGCCCTCCACTCCGTGGGTGGCCCATCTCCACTGCATTTCCTTACCAGCTTCTAGTCCCTCCGGGATCTGATCAACTCACTCACACTGTGCTGTGCCCCCCAGAGCCCTCCACAGGACCCCAGCTCATTCTCTCCACGGGAGTGTCGGCTGCTAATGCTCACAGTTGAGTTCTTTCTTAGGAGCTGGACATAGATACTCCAGGGGTAGCCACATCCAAATGACAGGAGGGAGAAGGGGTATAAGGCCCTGCCCCTTGCTTCAGGGAACTCTGCAGGACCAGCCTAGCTCCAGAGCTAACTAAGGGATCAACCTCCAGCCTCCTCACAACCCAACTCCTCTCTCCCAGCTCAATCCTGCTTTCTTTACCCAGGTGTTGACTGCGCATGTAACTCCCCAAGAAATATCCTTCCAGCAAATCTCCACGTTAGAGTGTGTATTCTGGGAAACCTACCAAAGATACCACTAAAGAGCTGGCTGGCTCCCCACCCACAACTCTTCCCCATTGCCATCCCCACCTCCAGTCGGCCGCCCCACGCCAATCGGGGGTGGGGTCCACTGGCCAATCTCCCCAGCCACTTCCCACAGCTGGCCTGGCCCTGATCCACCCCCATTGGGGCCAGGCCAGCCGGACACATTCCCCTCCATCTCATGCATGAATTTGTGCACTGGGCCTCTAGTTATAGAGAAACAGGATTCATGCCAAAGGAATGACTTTCTCATGGTGAAATCTCAGGCTTAGGCAAGGTGAAATCTCCAGCTTAGTGATGCCAGCTGGAAGTATTTGTGTAGCACAAATTCTGTCACAAAATCCTCTGCCTCCCTGCATGGTCAGTCCTGATCTGTATACTGTCTGGGTAAGTCCCCAGTGGGTCAGGGCTGGAGAGGGGGAGGGCGTGTCTCAATTTCATTCTTCTTTAACAACAGCAACAAAGCAGGGCTCTGCGTAGTAATGTAATATCTCTGTTCTGTCTCTTCTCTGGGATCTCACTTCTTGGGAGCCGGTGTGGAGGTAAATTCCTCTGAAAGCAGACCGCCCGGCTTGGGGCTCTCCGGGGCCTTTCTGAGAAAAGGTGACATTGTTCCCAGCACTTCCTCTCCCTTCATGGGAAGTTCCTGCGCCACCACGGAGTCCTCCTTACATCCTCCTTTTTCAGGCTTGGGCTTTCCACTTTTCCTTTCCATCCTCACCTCCCCGCCAGGGTTGGGGTGGGGGGGCTGATCTGGGCCTTTTTGTCCCCCAGGTTGAGCCTTGTTCCCTCGCTAAGTGGTGGCTTTCTGAGAGCCTGACCCCGCCCTGCGGCCCCTGGCCCTCAGGAGCAGGTCCCGGCAGGCTGAGGCCTGGCATGGAAGAGGCTGATGGCTGCTTTGTCCACGGGGCTGACTGCTTTGGGTGGAAAACAGTGTGTGTGTGTGTGTGTGTGTGTGTGAGAGAGAGAGAGAGAGAGAGAGAGAGAGAGAGAGAGACAGAGATAGGAGACAGGAGAACCCCAGACCTCAGAGAGACCTTGGTCTGAGCTTTTCTGAGCAGAATATGCAGTTTTCAGCTTACTCCTTGGGGGTGGCCTGAGATCTGTTGTGTACACACACCTGTGTACGTGTGTGTGTGTGTGTGTTGGGAATCAGATCTCCTGTGTGACTTCTAACAGCTTGCTCCTTTGCCCTCTCCAGGAAAGAAGTCCTCCTTTAAGAACATGCCTGGCTTGGAAACAGCAGGGGCTTTGTAAGTATTGGTTGAATTCTATTGTGGTGGTGGTGGCAGTGAGCTAGAAGTAAAACAAAACAAACAAACAAAAAAACAGCCCACAGCCACCATCACCACCACAACAAAAAACACCTCATTTCCCAACAGGAACAAAAAGTTATTTCATTGTGAAGCTCCATGCCACAAATCTGTAAGTAGTGCACTACAGCCTTCATTAAAACGTTCTCCCCCAAAGCAAACAGCCAGACAATGTGCAGTCTATTTGCAATGCCTGGAGGCCCCGGGGGATTCAGGGCACCGGAGGATGTGCCTCTTCTGGCAAGCAGCCTTCGGGGCGGGCATGTGTGCGGGGCGTGTGTGTGTGTGTGTGTGTGTGTGTGTGTGTGTGTGTGTGTTGGGAGGAGTGCTGTTCTCCCCGAGGTCAGCTGTGCGAGAGGAAGAAGACTGGGCATGCCTGGGCAGAGATTTCCAGACGCAGAGCAGCCCTCCGTGTCAATAACTGTAGCTGCTCTAAGCCTGGGTCTAACTTTCCAGCGGGCTTTCTGTTCAGATCTACACTGTTCCCTGCAATTTTTTAAAAAAGCAGAAACTGCAAATGTCTTAGGTGAAGGAAGGGGCGAAGATGGGGCCCAAGGGGGGATAGGGTGAGGGGGTTGGCGGGGACATAAGGGCACCTCGCTTGCTCTTATCTGTCAGAAGCACTGGGGACATTTGCAGAATTGCTCTTCATCAGTGTTGCCCCCGTAAGCCGTCTGGAAACGGGGGTCCCGGTGTGTCCCTCAGTCCAGAGCCTCTGAAATACTGAGGGCAACAAGCAGAGAACTCTGACGGGAGGCAAAGTGACTGTGACCCACCTATGGCCATCTATTTGCTGCGTGTTGTTAGGGCATGGGCCTTCTCTGCCTCAGTTTCCCCCGAAGTGTGTGGGCTGGGTGTGGAGCATCCAGGAGATAACTCATTCACCAACCAAGCCTTCTGCCCTGCCTCGCACCAAGCCGGGGCAATCACAGAGGTTTCCTCTGTTGAGAGAAGAGGGGGGTGTGAGGAGCGAGGACCCGATTCCGGGAGGCTGTGCATTGCAGGACTTGCCCAGGAGACAGGATGCCCCTTTCTGAGAAGCATCCCCAATTCCCTCCTGTTCTGAGGCTCCGCCAAGTCCCCTCTGCAGCCCTTCAGCTCTGAGGGCCTCATCTGTGGAATCAAGGGGATTGACGGTGCTGCAGGCCTTCAGGGGCTTTGTTGGGGTGTCTGGGTCCCCCTGGTGCGTGGGGAGGGGTGGTCTGGTGAGTGACGGGAATAGTGGTGATACCATGTGGGGCTTTTCTGGGAATTGCAAAGTGAGGTGTGTTGTTGTTATTTATTGATTTTTATTTATTATCAGGGTCAGAAAGGGGGCTTTTCTTAACAGTGCCATCCTTCCTGGGGAGTGCCAACTCACTTCCCACCAAAAAAAACCGCATTGGTGGCTCAGCTCGTGGGGGAAATGGGCAAGCGCACGACCCCCAGCTCAGGGTGCAAGGAGGAGGGAGCCTCGGTCCCAGGACACAGGGAGGGATCAGAGCTCAGCCTGTGCAGGGAGGGGCGGTGTCCCCGGGGAGGGCGGTGCCGGTCCTGTGGCTCGAGCAGCCGTCCCGCCCAGAACGTTTATAAGCCGGGAGCGCCGGGCGGCGGCAGCTGAGAGGTGAGCAGCTGCTCGGGTGGCAGCTTGGGATCCGGAGCCCTTTCCGAGCCCGTTCCGTTCCGTTCCGTTCGCGAGCCGCAGACGCCGTCGGAGGTGAGGGAGCCGCGGCCACCGGGACGCACCGGGCCGGGCTGGGCGCGGAGCCGGGAGCCCGCGGATGAGTGTCCGCAGGTGTGCGCGTGCTGTGCCCACGGGTGAAGGACGTGCGTGGGGCTTGGATCTGCCCGTGGAACGGGCTGTGCCGGAGACCCGGGCGGGGAGAGGGACGCGAGTTCGCGGCACCCGTGCCACGGCCCTTTCCCTGGAAAGCCGGGGCGCGGGGGGCGCGGGGGGCGCGGGGGGCGCGGGGGGCGCGGGGGGCGCGGGGAGCGCGGGGGGCGCGGGGTGGGGGAAGCCGCTGTCCGCGCCCGGCCGCCGGCGGGAGCGCCCAGCGCAGCAGGTTCTCTGGACCCGCTCCCGGCGGCTCTCGGACCCATCCCCGCCCCGCCCCGCCGCTGAGGTCGGGGTGCCGTGGGGTCCGCCGCCCGGCCGGGCACTGAGGTCGCGCGGGCTGAGTCCCCAGCTCTTGGCTATAGGTCGGGGCATGTCCCTTACGGCCAGCGGGGAGGGGACTCGCGGGGACCAGGGGACTCCGGGGGTTTGGGGGGGAGGGGGGGCTAAGGACAGGGTGTTCTGTACCCAGAAGTGCCGGCCTCGCCCCTCGCGGGCCCGCCCGCCAGCACAGTGACCCATTTGGCTGGACGTGTTCCCGGGGACGCCGGAGGTCCAGCCCGGGCGTCCGGGCCCCGCCCCGCGCCCCGGAGTCCAGCCCCGCGCCCCGGAGTCCGGCCCCGCGCCCCGGAGCCCGGCCCCGCGCCCAGAGCCCCGGCCCCGCGCCCCGGAGCCCCGGCCCCGCGCGGTGTGCTCGCTGCGGCCAGTCCATCGGGAAGCGCTGGGGCCCACGCACTTCCCCCCCCCGCCGCCCGGCCCGGCCCGGCCCGGGCTGCCCTCGGGGGCGGGGGCTGCGGGCGGAGCGGGCTCTGCCCGGCGGCCCTGGGTGCGGTGTCGCCCGGTGGGACGCGGGTGGGGTCGAAACTCGGAGGGCGAGGCTTTGCCCTTTGCGGGGCGCCGCGTCAGGGGCTTGGGGCGCCCCCTCCGGAGGCCACGGGCTGAGCCGCCGCTCGCCCCGCGTCCAGGTGCGGCACCGCCCTCCTGGGGAGGAATCCTGGCACCGGGCTTGGCACGGCAGGCGCCCGGCAGCGCCCTCCCGCCCTCCCCGCCCTCCGGGTCGCGTTTCGGGGCGGACTTTCGGGCTGTTGTGTTTTCTTCGCTCCGGCTATTTTTATTCCACGGACTGACTCAGCCGCCCTGGGCGTGGAGACACGGTGGGGGGCCAGACCCCTGCGCCCTGTGCGCGCGCTGCGTGTGAATGTGTGTATGTATGTGTGTGCGTGTGTGTGTGTGTGTATGTGAATGTGAGTGTGTGTGCGTGTGTGTATGTCTGTGCGTGCTGTGTGTGTGAGTGACAGATGGCGCCAGAGCGCGCGGTTTCCCAACAGCCGGTGTTTGGGAAGCCGGGCTGGGTCAGCGTGACGTGTTCGGGCCCCCCCCTCCCCACGGGCCCCCCTCCCCCGAGTGACGCGGCCGCAGTGGAGCGGGTTTTGGCGGCGGGAACGGGAGCAGGAAACTGACTCACCGCGCCTCCCTCCGCCCCAGCGCCGAGGCTCGGCCCACGCACCGCCCCCCGCGCGTGATTTCCTGGAGGCCAGCGCTCCCTTCCGGCCCCGCCGCGAACGGCACACGTTTCCCGCCTTTCCTCCCGCGGCCCCTCCGGGCTCCTCACAGGAGGCCCCTCCACCCGTCCAACGGCCCCTGAAAAGCACCCCATTGGCTCGGCAGAGCTTACCCGGTGCTCACTGTTTACTCCGGAATTAAAACTGGTTGAAGCCTAAAGCACAAAGGCCAGCGAAGAAGGCTACCTGTTACCCGATTCTTGTTTGTAAACCAGGGTTTGTGTTTGTGAGTCTCTCTAGGCTGGGAGTTAGGATAAGGGGGCCCCTCGCTGAGCCAGAGGGCAGGGGTGGGAGGAGGAGAGATGTCGCTGCCTGGATTAGGGTCCCGTCCTCCTTCCAGAAGCCAAAGAGCATGGGCTTTCTGAGGAGCCCGGCTGGTGCCCCCGCACTGAGGCCCAGGGTGTCCATGTCAGGTCCCCGTGTGTCCCCTCCGTGTGCCCTCTGGGACTGCCTAAGACTTGCTTAAATCCCCTTCAATTTGAGTTAAGTACGTCTGGGGAGGGAGGGGCATGGATCTACATTTTGATAAAGCTCCCCAAGTGATTCCAACCAGCCTTTCTGAAACCTTGAAATTAGTGAGGGAGTGGAGTTCAACCCCAGAGCGCTGCACTCAGGGTAAATGGGCGTGGGTTCAAATCCTGGCTGTGCTACCCGTGAGTTGTGTGACCTTGGGAAAGTTATTAACTTCTCTGAGCCTCGGTTACCTCTCCTGTGAAAAAGAACTGATAGGCCCACATTTTAGGAAAAGTTAGTATTTGGAAATGTCTTAGACCAGCCCTGGCATGTAAAACTATACAGATAGATGTCAGTCCTTGCCCTGCAGACTGCGGGCAAAGGCCGTTTGAAGGCTCTGCGCTGTGAATCTCCTCTCTGGGACGGTGGCCTTTGACCGTTTTTAGATGCATGGTTTGGGGGCAAGTGTCCTGTCTCCTCCGCCCTTTCAGCTCCGTCTGAGGTTGCCCCTCCCCTCTCAGCTGAGATGTGGGTGTGCTCACGCGAGGGGCGGAATGGGGAGCAGTCGGTGTGTCATGGGTCCAGGTTCCTGCCCCAGGAGATCCCTCAGCACAGCGTTTGCCTCCAGAGCCTGCAAATCAGGACTTGTCCCCAGGAAAACCCGGTCCCTGCCAATTCCACGCAGCCCTCAGCCCTGGAGTCAGGCCAGAGCGGGGCAGGCAGGGAGCGCTGTTCTCCCCGGAGTGGGAGGAGACGAGCCGGGAGACCGGCCGCCTCTAATTTTCTGTGCCTGCAGAACGGTTCCGTGGAGGCAGACAGCATGGGGCAGGGGCTTCAAGGCAGTCTAGACTGCAGTCACCACGGCCTGGCAGGATGTGGCTCAGCCGGCTCCTCCTCAGCCCCAGGCCACTCGCTGATGACACCCCTGTGAAAGGCCCAGCCCACAGCACCTGTCAGCTGCTGTCTGGGTGGAGGCTCAGCCAGAACTGAAGGCAGAGAAACAATAACACGTCTGTTTTCCAAGCGCTTCTGCGTCCCAGGTGCTGCTCTAAGCACGTTCTCTCCGCCGCAGTCCCTCCTCACACCTGTCCTCGGAGATGTTTACTGTCAGTGTCTCCCTTTTACAGAGGAGGAAAATAGGGCCCAGAGAAGTTAAGCCACTTGTCCAGGGTCAACCAGCAGAGCCTGGATTCCCACCCAGGCAGTCCTGCGCCAAGGCCCTCGCTCTTAACCACGAGAGACAGCCTGCCAGCTCTCTGCCACCCGCTTTGCCTAGAAAGACTCCCGGGCATTTGCTTGATGGTGCTTCAATCAATGGCCATCCTCTTTAAACTCCCATGGACCCATTTCACAGTTGAGGAGACTGAGGCCAAGAAACATTAAGTGACTTTTTTTTTTTTTTTTTTTTAAAGCTTACATAGTAAGCAGCAAAGGTAGGCTCAGATCCCAGGCGTTTTTCTCCAAAAGTCCAGGGTACTTTTAAGTGTGAGAGCAGGGTTGTCCCGCAGGGGCCCCTGGGAAGGGCCTCAGGAGGCTGGAGGAGCTGTGCCAGCCTGTCCACTCACTGGGGAACTGACCTCCTGGCCAAGGCTGGGACACTGGACTCGAAATTCACACGTACTTGGGGCATTCACACCCGTGAGGGACACCTCAGGGGGGAAAGTAAATTGATTTTAGCTGATAACGCCAGGTGGTAAACAGGCCCTTGATCCCTGCCATTGCAATAGCCTTTGTGGACATAAGCTTGCCCTTTAGCTGCCCGCTCTCCCGGTCACCCTGGGGTGCCATGCTGGCCGTGCTCTGCCCCCACCCGGTGTCTGTTGGTGGGAAGGAGGTGGTGGGAAAGCAGCTGGGCGGAGCTGCAGACTCCTCCCACCTCCTGTCCTGGTAGGAGGGCCGCCCCCAGCACAGCACGCCTGGTCTGGGGGGCCGTTTCTCGAGTGACCAGGCGTCCCTTGTGTCTCAGCTGCAGGCACCATGTCGGAGCCGTCCCGGGACGCCCGCCCGGTCCCCCGCGGCAGCAAGGCCTGCCGCTGCCTGTTCGGCCCGGTGGACAGCGAGCAGCTCCAGCGAGACTGCGACGCCCTGATGGCCAGCTGCGTGCAGGAGGCCTGCGACCGATGGAACTTCGACTTTGTCACCGAGACACCGCTGGACGGCGACTTCGCCTGGGAGCGGGTGTGGAGCCTGGACCTGCCCAAGCTCTACCTGTCCTCGGGGCCGCGGCGGGCCCAGGACCGCCTGGCGAGGAGCAAGCGGTGCAGCAGCTCCCCGGCCGTGCTGCAGGGGGCCGCGCAGGAGGACCACGTGGACCTGTCGCTGTCCTGCACCCTCGTGCCTCGCTCCCCCGGGCAGCCGGAGGAGTCCCCGGGCGGGCCCAGCATGTCCCAGGGCCGCAAACGCCGGCAGACCAGCATGACAGGTGAGGACCGAGGCGGGGGGTGACACTGCGAGGGACCACGGCTTAGCATCCGTGGTGCCAGGGCTGGCCTGTCTGGTCCAGCGTGCTCATCATGAGGGGAAATGGGCTCAGAGAGGGCAAGGACCTTGCCTGAAGTCACACAGCCAGGGCCAGCTACCCCTTATTTGGAGCACTTACTGAATGCTAGCCCTTCACTGAATTTCTAAGGTGGGTTTCACTTAGTCCGTGTGACATTCCTGCCACCCTTTCACAGGCAGGGAAAAGCGTTCAGAGAGGTAGGTTTTCCTACAGACCCACAGTGAGTTTGCAACGCAGAGGAAACTAATGATAGTAATTTCCTGGCCGTTCCGTCCAGACTAAACTTCCCTTCCCTCTTCACACACACACACTTCCTGTCCCTCTGCTTTTTACTGCCAATAGCCATTTCTTTATCTTGATATTGTCCGTCTTTCCGACTGGGACATTATCTCCGTGAGAATCGGATCTACGTCTCTCTGGTTCACGCCTGGATCCCTAGCACCTAGAATGGTATCGGGCACATAGCAGGTGCGCGATAAAGAGTGAACGAGCCACGTTTACATTAAGCACTCACCAGGCCAGGCCTAGACCAACGCCTTTATAGAGAGCATTTCATTTAATCCTTAGGGCAGCATACCGGCGTTACCCACATTCACCGGTGAGGACACTGAGGCTCAGTGAGATGCAGCCAAGAATCCCACAGCAGCCTTGGCTGGTTTTACTCAGTGGATAGAGCGTCGGCCTGTGGACTGAAAGGTCCCAGGTTCGATTCCGGTCAGGGGCATGTACCTTGGTTTTGGGCACAACCCCAGTGGGAGGTGCGCAGGAGGCAGCTGATCGATGCTTCTCTCTCATCGATGTTTCTCTCCCTCTCCCTTCCTCTCTGTAAAAAAATCAATGAAATATGTTTTAGAAAAAGAAAAAGAATCCCACAGCCACTCTGCAGCTGGGTGGGCACTAACAGTAAGAACAGGAGCTATAGCTAACGTTCCGCGCCCAGGCGCTGTGCAGGGCCTCCTGGGGGACCTGAAGGTCAGCATAGAGCAGGCTGCCCAGAGCTCGGTGCACATGCAGCGCACCGGCCACCTAGCGCTGTGACTGAGGAAGGGGACTTTTGTTTTATTTTCTTTTAGTTCATTTAAATAACCGCCTAGGACCGACCGGTGGCCAGGGTTTGGGGCGGCTTGGGTTAGAGCAGGCCGAAGGATGTGGGCTCCATTGTCAGTCACGCCTGGGAAGCGGGCTGCTGGGTAAAAGCCGGCGGGGGTCGGGGTACGGGGAAGGGGTGCGGGGTGGGGGGGGGAGTTCTTCCCTGCACTTGGCAGTGTGGGAGGGGTCGCGGCCCCTGCAGTTGGCCTGGCTGGTGGCTCCCGGCGGCCTCTCTCTCCTGGCCTGGCTGACCTCTGCGCTCTCTCTCCCCGTAGATTTTTATCTCTCCAAACGCCGGCTGATCTTCTACCAGAGGAAGTCCTAACGGCCCGCGGGAAGCCTCTCGCTCCTGGAAACACGGCGTCCCTCAGGCCCGCTCTCCACCCTGCGCCTTAGCCCTCAGTGTGTGTGTTAATTATTGTGTCTGTTTTAATTTAAACTTCTCCTCGTGTACATAGCCTGATGGCCACCACCCCCCACCCCGCCCGCTGCCGGCATTAGGATTATTTAAAGAAAACAGACAGCGGAATGATAGGCCTATTCGATTGCCAGGTATTTTTATTATGCAAACTATTATTTAAAACTCCCCCCTCCCACACTCACTATTTCTCCTCTCCCGGAGGTGAGGTGGGGCCGGCCTGACCCTCATCTGCTGGGTGGTGCTCGGAGGGGCCTCGCTCCCTCCCTCTGTTCCCTGCTTCCCGGGTGGTATGAAATTCTGCCCCTTCATCCTCGGCCCCCGGGAGGAGTAGAGAGATCGCACTTTGAAGGAGCCCAGCAGCGTGGGGCATCATCCACACTTTGGGGTCCCCTCGCCGCCTCTGAGGGTGGGCAGGGTGACCTTGAAGTGGGCACCGCTGGGACAGGGGTGGGGACTGGCACTCTCCTGTCCTGTGAGGGAGAGGCAGGATCCCGTAGCAAAGCCTCTGCCTCCCTCATGCCCCTTCCTGCCCAGGTGCCCGATTTCCCAGCCCAACTCCCCCTCCCCCCAATCCTCCCCCAACCCTGGGCAGCTGTGCTGGGGTGCCCGTCCCCCCAACTCAAAGGACTGAGGGCAGGGTCTACCTCAGGCAGCTGGCGCAGTGGGCGCCCCTCTCTCAGCCCAGGGGTGGTGGTCTCTCTGAGAGGGATGTGCGGGTGGGGGAAGCAGATTTCTAGAAGGGAGTGACCCTGGAACTCATCCAAGGGTCTTCCCCCTGCCCCACCCTCCCATTCCCTGCACTTTGAATAGCAGCGGAGCAAGGACCCAGGCGTTTGACATGGTGGGAGGGAGGCCGTGGACCAGGCCCACAGCGGGCTGACCACGGGCCTGGGAGCTGTATCTTTCCTGGTGCTGAACACTGAGCCCCCAGAGGCACTGAAGCACTTGGTGGGTCTGCCCCACCCCGCCCAGCCCTGTAACACGCTGTCCTGGACTGTGTTCCCCTGGTCCCCGCCTCTACCACACTGTACACCTCTCCCGGCCGGGCCCATGTCCTGTATTGCTCCGTGTCCCTCACAGCCCCGCCCCCCCCCACCCCCCCAGTGCTGGATATACAGCAGGTGCTCAATAAATACTTCTTGTTTTTACTTGTAAAAATATCTTGTTATTTTTAAGAATAAGTAGGCAGAGGTGGTGGTTTTTTTATTTTATTTTTTGGTTGTTTTTATCATTTAAAAATTAAGCACTTAAATTTTAAAAACACAAAAAGCTTAGCAAAATAAGGAGTATCAGGCAGAAAACAGACAAACAAGAGCAACATATAAAAAATAAACCGTCACACCTCTGCGGAGATTGCTATTGTCAATATTTTGGTCTTTTCTAGTAAAGAGCACATTGTAGCTTCACATCATTACTCGTTGGGGAAATGCAAATAAAACCACAACAAGACACCACTGGACACCCACCGGGATGACTAAGATGAAAAGGGCTGACAATGCAACGTGCTGACAAGTGGCCTGGCCAGTGTGGCTCAGTGGTTGAGGGTCCACCATGAATCAGGAGGTTTGATTCCAGTCAAGGTACATGCCTGAGTCCTGGTCTTGATCCCCAGTAGGGGGAGTGCAGGAGGCAGCCGATCAATGGTTCTCATTATTTATGTCTCTCTCTGGCCCTCTCGCTCTCTGAAATCAATAAAAACATATTTTTTGAAAAGCACAATGTGCTGTTTGTATACCTTGCTGGTGGAAATATATTTCAACTACATTGGGAACCTGGCAATATCTTCCACAGATGCCTCCCCTCCTGCCTGACCTCATGACCCAGGAATTGTAATCCTATGTTTGTTCTCAGGAGAAATGAGTACGGATTTCCACCAAAAGATATGGTCATGGCAACATTCTTAACAGACCCTAACTGGAAACAACCTAAATGCTCATAACAGGAGAGTAGCTATGTCAGTTGTGTATCTTTCTATAGTGGAATACTATACAACATTTTTAAAAAATCAAAGTATTTTTACACACGTGCTCTGATTATCTATATACCAGTGACCTGGTGCCCAGATCTGTGCATGTTGAAAGGATATTAATTAGAAGGTGGCCTGCAGGGTGGGGACTGGACAAGATGGGCTGGACACGCCCTGGAGCCAACCTCCTACAGTCCCTCCCTGGTGTCTGTGGAGGGAGCGGGGTCCCTCTGGCAGGTGGGGTCCCTCGGCTGGACTGTGGATATTGGGCCGAAACCAGCTCTCCGACAACCCAGAGTGGGAGAGGGCGCTCTGCAAAAGTGCTGTTGTACAGGGTGTGGAACGCAAAAGCAAGTGTGCAGTAAACCAGACTCAGGGCCAACAGTGCCCCAGCAACAACATAACCCACGGCTGAAGGTGAAATCATGCAACCCCACAAGGAATCAAGCTCCCTCTCTGGTTTCGGGGTGCATCACCCGAGAACTACTGCTGCCAAGTCACTGCAGCTCAGCAGCTCCTGCGTTGAGTGTCAGCTCCCTGGTGGTCAGTGCGCGTCATAGAGACCGGTCAGATGGTAGGAGGGACACTTAGCATATATATATAAAAGGCTAATATGCAAAATGTCCCCTCAGGAGTTCAACTGAGAGACCAGGAGTTTGGTCGCTTGCTATGTCATGCACTTACCACCAGGGGGTGACATGCAATGAAGGAAAGGCCCTGGCCGGCAGCCAGAAGGCCCTGATCGCCCACCAGGCCTAGGGACCCTAGTGATTTCATGTACTAGGCCTCTAGTCTGTTCATAATTAACCATCCCAGGACTTAGTGGCTTAAAACAATAATCATTAATTTGCTCCTGAATTTGCAATTTGGCTAAGAACTGCTCTTCAAATGTTGGGTCAATCTTTGCACAGCTTTGCTCCTGACTCCGGAGTCCGAGATGAGCTCTCCACTGGGCTTCCCAGTGACCCGGCACTGCCTACTTGTCTCCCATGGATCCTTCTCGAACTGTGGGATATGCTGGGCCATGCTTCCCGATGCTTGTCCCAGAACACAGACCCATCACAGAGTCCTCTTTCTCACTGGCCTCCACTCAAACATGGCAGCTTCCCACGCCACCCAATACACGGCTGCAGCATTAACGCACACCTCCCAATCCAACATGGCCTCTTTTTAGTGGTAGGACGTCCCCAGTATAATAAGGTGTCCTTTCCCACAGGAGGAACACCCCAGCATGCCCCCGTTCACTGACCACCTAAACCTTAACCGGCATGATAGTCTTTCCTGATGTGGATTGAAAAGAATGCAATGGCCGTTATTATCAGCTTCTTATCATCAGAGGCTGGGCAGACTGTTCCAGTAAAGGTACGGTATGTGACATATTGGCTGCAATTAGAGCTACCACCTGGTAGCCATCAATCACCACGTTTCACTTGGTTGTTAGGGGAGCAGCACGGGGCGGGCTGAGTGGGGACACGCTGGGGCCACCCTGCACCTTTGAGAGTAGGACTGATGGCCGCAGCTCCACATGGGATGTGTGTTGCTGCTTCTGATGTGCTATCTTGACTAGTGGGACAATTTTAGAGACTCCTAATCGGTTCTTTCCATAATGGCTCTTATTTTATAGACTAGAGGCCCGTGGCATAAAGATTCGTGCAATAGGCCTTCCTTCCCCTGGCTGCTGGCACTGGTTTTTCTCCGACACCTGGGACCCAGGCCTTCGCTCTGGCCTCTGCCTTCAGTCTTCGCTCTGGCTGGAGCACCACTTCTGTAGCTCCCTCCACCCCTCCAACCTCCCCCTCATAGTAGGTGTCCCGCCCCACCTGGCCGCTTCACACCTGCATGCATACTGCCCAGAGGCCCGGAGTGGCTGGGAGGCAGGGCCATCTTTGCTGGGTTAATTTGCATACTCACTCCTGATTGGCTGCTGGGTGTCACAAAGTGATGGTCAATTTGCATATTGCTCTTTTATTAGTGTAGATTAGGGAAGCAGTGTGAGGTTCTCCCAGCTGCTAACTCTATCCATCCCACTTTAGGGGCTAGTAAGTAACCAAGACCCAGAGGGCTCTGAAGTGAATCTGGCAGGACTGCCTATGCCCTCTACTCTTAAAGGAGGGGCGAATGGTATTTTGGGCCAGGTGGAACCAGTGACAGCTCAGACTCTATCCCATAGATTTAAAAGATCTGGCTTCTCCCCACACTGTACAGCTATTCTGGTAAGTAGCCAGAGGGCACCTTGTGGGGAGAGCTGAGGAGATATTTATTTTATACACTTTGAGTTGCATCATGGGTCTTTTTCTTTAAGCAGTGGGTCTGGTGAAACCGGGTGAAAGGTGGTCACTTTTCATCAGAGCAGCTGACATCCACCTCTGCTCCCCACCCCCTTGATCCAGTGTGGCTGAGTCAAGCAGTATCTGCACTGAATGCTCATCTCCCTTACCCTGGGGACACCGCCACCAAGGGGCCCAGCCTGCCTCTGGTGAGCCAGTGGCCCATGTGGCCTCTGCTCCTGCAGGATCATGGCGTCTCCGCCAACTGCATCTCCCCAGCCAGCACCGAGTCCTTCTCACCAGTGCACCTCTGCTGCTTCGGGGAGGGAGGGTCTTCTGGGCGGTAAGCAGGGGAGATGGTGAGCTGGTGGGTTCTCATGCAGGGAGTCCATTCTCTCTCCTTTCTTCTCTGAGCCTCCTTCCCCCCACCCCCTTGGTGTCTCCAAGGCAGTTTTGGCATCCCCCCCCCCTCATTAGCTGTTGGCCGGTACTGTGCCTAAGCTTTAAGGACCAACTCAGCAGAGTGTTAGGACCAGCTCCTGGGGCGCTTGGCTGGGTGTTCAATCCTGAGTCAAAAGAGAGAGAGAGGCCTCCCTAAAAACATCCTCTACCCAGCCCTGTGTTCCTCCTCTCTCCTGCTCTGGTTCCACCCCGTGCCCCTCCCCGCCTCCGGACATCACCTCCCATTTCTGCTCCCCTGTTCTAACCAATACACACCAGCCAAATTATTTCCTCCACACCAGGGGCTGTCCTTTCCTGCCTGGGCAATGGCCTGACCCTAATTATTGGCCTAGAGAAACGGCAGGTAAACTGGAATTTGGAAGTGGGAGGCCTATTTTTGTATCGAGTTTTACTGGAATTCAGATAGGCCGGTCTGCTTACCTATTGCCGATGGCTGTCTTTGCACTATTATTTTACTTTAAATCTTATTGTTGGGAG